CTTGAAGAGAAAATACTTGTGAATGTACTTTTTTAGTTTTACAACCCCAATTCGAAACAAAGTTTGGACGTTGTGTACAATCTACTTAAAAACAGAATGCAATGATTTGCAATCTCCTCAAACCATATTTTTTTTTACAATAGAAAATAGAAAACATATCACATGTTTAACTGAGAAAATGTACCATCTTAAGGAAAGAAAAATAAGGTAATTTTAAAATTGATTGTACAGTTCAAAGAGATCGGCCCAATCTAATTGATGTGCTAATGTTTGTTTTAGTAATGCTTCCCGATGATTGTGCCTAGCTGATCCACTTTTCTAATTTCATATCTATTAGACAGCGTTTGGTAGAAAAAAAATAGATTTTTGTGGCTTCTTATTATGAGAAACATGGACTATACTGATTGCCAGATAAATTATCATTATCATAACGCAAGTGCTTACCTGAAGTTTATGTAACTTTAGATAAGCACCGTTTTGTTTTTTTCACTTAATGGTGAGAAAGATAAGTTGTTTTTTTTTACTCCTTAAAGTGTTAATTTCAGTGACAGGTTAACCTGGTGAGCATGTGTACCTCTAGTAGTGCCTATACACATGAAGCAGATTAGCACATTAGATTCTGTCTTGAGATGCATCTGGAAATGAGAGATGTTTCCCCATATGAAAAGGGCACACCAGAATCTGTAAAGGTTAACTATAGCAGGGTTCGGAAAGTTGGACCTCATCACATGGCCATTGTTATTAATAAGGAAATATTTGGCTCTAGAAGGCAGGCAACAAGATGAAAAATGTGTATAGGAAATATTTACATAGTGAGGAGCGTGCGGATGGGGGATCCAGGATTGATGTTATGTGGGAGGAAGACAAGACACCTTCCTGTCATTCTTTTAGAGCGTGCACCACTATTAAACAGGAGATTGATTTTTCCATTTAGTTCTATGCTCTGCAGGACTTGTATTTTTAACAAGCACACAGCTGGTAAGTTAGAATCATGTGGAATGTCATTTGGTCGCAGAATAATATCCTTACTGCCAAGGATTGTGGAGTTTCCCCGTCCTTCAATGTATAAAATGGAAAACAAGGAAGATCCAAGATTCTGTGGTCTCTAATTCCACCTCTGGCGTTGTGTTACTACTCCTCTTTCTGTATACAAAGAAGACTCTTATCTGCCATCTCACTGAGTTTGCAGGCTCCTCTTACCAGTTCAACACAGCATAAGGAGAAAAGAAGGTATCACTGAACCTTCCCCCTAGTCGCAGCAATATCTTAATGTCCTTAGGCAAATTAATGAAAGACGGTCTCATTGGCACATCATTATGTTATTACACAATCGTTATGATTTAATTTTTTTCACTTCGAAGCAACTTTTTTTTTTCCATCTTTCTATAAATGATTTACTGCTGAATCACTGTCCAAAATCTAATAACTTGTGATGCTCATTATGACTATACTGACAGACCGTATACTATGCTGGTTAAAAAATTAAATTCAAATATTTTTCTTTGTAAATATCAATTAAAAAACATACCAAGTGCACAAATCCCAAGAATTATTTTGTGTAGATAAGCATTGTTCAAAATTGGAGACCTTTTCAAGGGCCAGTTTGCTAAAACCAAGGAGAATACCTTGAAAAGACAAGTGCAGTGGCTATGACTGTAGCTGTTCTGCAATCTTACACATTTTCTGTTTATATTTTGTAATAATCAAAGGTTTCATTATTCAAACCTTTTATATTGTGGTGCAAGATTTTCACTTGGGATTGTACACCCTACAAACAAAACAATAACCTCTAAACATTCTTATTTATTGAAATAAATGGCACCACACCAGACAATGGGTAAAATAAGGCGGTGGCCCCTTTATTGGGTTTTAAATAACAATAAACATTTATTAGCCAAAATAAAACTTAAACCATAAAGCACCAGAAATAAACAGTCCCAAAATGCTCAGTCTCAAGCAGGGACCCGGAAATACCATCCTACCACACTACTACTTACTGGCCACCCACAAAGTGGGCGACATTACCCCAGGAAAGAATGACCGGGCAAACCAAAATAAAAGGAGAGGGAGGGCAGAGAAGCAAGTCCAGATTAATCCATAAGACGAAGATGACCTGATGGCTCCAGCTGAAACTCTGAGGTATGGCTAAACTGCCTAGAGACCAGGACCAGTTTTTCTGTACTAAAGGATACCGTAATTGGGCAGATGCTTTCCCTCCAAAACCTTGAGGATCATTCCAGATTTCATCTAAATGGAAAACCTGCAACGTGACACCACATTAAATGGTAAGTAGGCTAGCGACACGCTTGAAACTACCCAACTACAGCCATGTGTCCTTCGCAACCCGAAAAGAAAAAAAAGAAGAGCCACCAGCGGAACTGACAACAAAACGTATAAAAATTCTTATCCCTTTAATATCCACTCTAGTACAGTAAACTCCCAGTTATCCGGCACCCACAGGTATCGGTAGGTGCCAGATAACTATAGTTTCTGGTCGCTTGAGAGTTAATGGTAATCTCAGTCGCCGCACATATCCCCCCCGGCGGCCCCATTCACCTGGCTTCCGCAGCAAACAGGTTAGTGTAAACAGCCGGGAACAATAGCCAGACTGCAATTGGCTATTTCAAATTGTAATAGCAGGCTGGCGATTATAGCCCCATCCACGGAGCAGACCTGAGAGAGAAAGTTCTCTCTCAGGTCCGCTCCCCTGCTCACTGGGCCGGTACAATAGCCAGCCTGCTATTGCAATTTGAAATATCCAAGAGCAGGCTGGCTATTGCTCCACATTGTTTACCTTCTGCTGCCAACTGTGGAATTTAGTAACGGTCAACAGCATAATGTAAACAAAGAATGTAAACAAATAATTTCGATAGCCCCTGAAAGACAAGGCCCTTTTTTTTTCTTCATTTTTTGCAACCATGTTATAATCCACATTTTAAGCCTGAAAATACCTTAAACTTAAAAACCCCAAAAAGTATATATTTTCAGAAAGCCAAGACCCTTTATAATAAAATGGTGGCAGTTGCAAATTTTTATGTTGCACGACTTTAGCACAACCTATTAGCAAACCCTAAAATTTAGTGAAAAATGCACTTAAGTTAAATTTAGTGCCCAAAAACACCATATAAAACGGTAACAGAATTCAGTTCCCCAAAAAGTCCATAGCTGACGTTTTAAAAGCTCCTACAGGTCATCAGTTTGGAGATACGTGTAAATATTGGCACAGGAATTATTGCTCTCACTCTGGCGTGCTCGGCGATAACAAACATGTAGCTCAATCGTCGTTTTCATACGTAGGTACAACCGAAGCGTGTTTATGTGGTGACGCAATTGCTCGCGTGGGACTTTAAAATTTAATTTAATTTTTGTAATATTATTTGTAAAACAGATTGCAGTTGAGTAGGTGTTAATTAGGAGTCAACCAATATAATTCTTTTGAGAGCCAATACCAATTATGGACCACCTTTCAGGCCAAAAACCGAAATCAGGTGCCGATATTCTGTTTACATCTGGTGACTGGGCTATGGGTTCATCTGCCAGCAGCAAGAATCCACAGCTGGGCAGCTGAATGTAAACAGCAGGCAGGAGCAATAGCCTGCCTGCTATTGCAGTTTGAAATAGCCATTAGCAAGCTGGCCATTGCACCCGCACACTGCCTGCTGTCAATCAGCAGAGGAGCTGACCTGATAGAAAAAAGTCTATCAGGTCTTTTCCTCTGCTGATGACAGCAGACAGCGGGCGGGTGCAATAGCAAGCGTGCTATTGGCTTTTTCAAATTGCAGTAGTCAATAGCAGGCTGGCTATTGCACCCGCCCACTGAGGAGCAGACCTGAGAGAGAACGTTTTCTATCAGGTCCGCTCCTCTGCTGACTGACAGCAGGCATTGGGTGGGTGCAACAGCCAGTCTGCTATTGGCTATTTCTAATTGCAATAGCAGACTGGCTATTGCTCCCACCTACTGCCTACTTCTAGCCACTGACAGATGAATGGGGCAGTGGGGAGGCTCCTCTTCACTGGCACTTATTTGTAATATCAGTCAATTTAATACCGATTCTGATTATTTAAAAATTTGTGAATATCAACCATAATAATCAGTAGATCGGTTGACCCCTAGTGTTCTATACCCAAAGACCTTCTATATCTCTTGGAGCTTCTCTCAGGGAGCCGTCAGCATTGGCCCCCCTAGCTCTGCCATACCATCACTGGAATGGAGTTTCTTCCTCAGTGCTGACACAGAGGAAGTCTCATCTTCCCTTCTTATATTCTCCATACTATAGTATAAATGGCTGTAGCTGGCAAATAGGCATGGTACCTCAAGTTCTAAGATCTCGCTGCTAGAGTCTCCCTTTATTAAATTAAGCTGATAGATAATTCTGGTTTGATAGATTCCCTTTTAAGGATATTCTATTGCTATAATGTGTAGGGTCATCTTGCTATACTTCAGATCTATTGACTTTGTGTGACCTAGACAAAGTAGCGTTGTGTTGTCATGAACACACATTGCTCAGTAAGCCTCCATCTGGAAGAAAGATGATAACACATCATGTCGTCTAACATCTTATTCCACTCACAGTGGGAGTGTGATTACTAGGTGCACTGTCAGTGTGGAGTGAATTAAAGTGTTCATTTCATGCCAAGTCAACCTGTATTAAAGCTAAATGTTCTTAAAGCTCCTATTTCAGTTGTATTCATAGGACATCAAAATATTTTTTGGCTAATATAATACGTTTTTTATAGAGATTTTTAGGTTTCATTCCTTGCTTTAAGATTGAATTCTGGTTGATTGTTTTTAATAAAGAATTGGCTCAGGTGACTACTGCTGTTTATGTTAAAATGACCCGCTCTGCTCCTATTACCTATGCCCTGTCTGCTTTGGTATTTTCAAATCTCAGTTTTTCCTAAAAAAAAAAAAAATCACCTTCACTTTATCAAAATGAGTCTTTTACCTACTGTATATTTTTTGCCTTTTTTGTTTTTCTCAAGCTACCTTTTTTTTTCAGACTCTATAGGTGGGACATTTCCAGCATCCTCTCATCGATGCCATCACAAGCAAAAGCACTGCATGCCGATGCCACAATGTGGCAGGCTAGCCATCAGCCCTCTCCTTTTCCACCCCCATGCCAAGGGGTCCCAGATTATGATGGACAACACACAGAAGGCAGTAAAGAGGCAGGCAAGCTTCTGTAACGCCATCACTTTCAGCAACAGGCCGGTGGTTATCCATGAACAAGTCCGCCTTAAAGTAAGTGCGTGTTTGGTTTCCTTGAGACTTCGCAATGAGTAGCAGGATAAAATTGCATTTACACCTAGATCTTCAAAAGAAGATGTGGAATTACACAACTGCATATGTCAGTCATGTGACGAAATGTACAGGAACATGCATTTTGAATTTTTTTTTTATACACAATCATAGTGCACAAGGCACTAAACAGCCGGTAAAAAGGTTAGCATGTTTTCTCTAATACAACATCCTTTAGAGCAGTTATGAAGAACTGCTGTAGTTTATACAACACATTTTACATACTTTCTTCCCAGAGCGAGACCTCTAAAGCAATAGAAAAACATTCAAGTAAATTGCTTTATTGCAAAAGCATAAATATATAATAAAAATATAAACTAAGTCAAAAGATTCCTCTTCATTCCACTAGGGCTGCAGCTAAGGATTATTTTCAAAATCGATTCGTTAGTTAAGTTCGATTAATCGAACTTTTAAAAAAAAAAATATAAAGGCTCCAGTGATGGACTACTAGTTTGTATTGAGATTGTACTTCAACACGGGAGCCAGCTTGGAGCGGTGGAAGTAAAAAGGAAAAGAAAAAGTGTGGTGTGCAATATAGTGAAATGGAAAGTGTAAAATTATATAGCAATCAATGCAGAATGGCACTGGCTATAGAGGACTACAAATCCCAGCAATAATACATGGGCGGGCAGCGGCGAGTCCATAAGAGCTGGGTGAGACGGGGAGGAGAAGCTTCGTGCGGCATATGTGGAGCCACAAGCAGGCCAACTAATCCACAGTCAACTAATCATGATGGAAAACGTTGAGAAAGTTTTCCATCATCTATTATAATCAACTTACTCGATTAGTTGTTGCAGCCCTACATTCCACCATTTACGGCATTATCCAAAATGGCATGCATAGCCATTTTTCCTGGGCACACTAAGCAGACCCTAATCCTAAAACCTTCTGTCATCTTAAAGTGAACCTGTCACATACCTGGGGCTATTCACTATGAGCATATGATAAAAAAATATTTAAGCAAGGCGTTACCTTTTCTGAGTATCTCAAAACCATCAGTAGAAATATGGAGATATATGCCACTGAAATTAAAATTTTTATTGTTTCCTGTCAAAGTGAATCTTGGTTCTGCCTCCTCTTCTGCCTTCTAGCAACCCCCATTGGTAAGTGTGGCTGCCATCACATTAAAGGACCAATGGGGGAACATGGGAATCATACCGGTTGCTTTATTGACAGGTAAGGTTGAACTACTCTGTTTTGTGACAGGTTCACTTTAAGATTTGTACCGAACTAACTTTGCAACTTTTTCATACTACATTACTTTTTATTACCTCGTATTTACTGTAGTTGTCATCATCTTGCAGTTTTCACATCTGTGCTCCAATGTGAAATTCTTGAATGTTGTGCTATAGGTAATTATGCCAGCCATATTGTTATTTATGGATATTGTCTTTGTGTGATTTAAAGCAAAGGTTCACCTACTCTAATATGTTGTAGATATGTTTTACAGGCTAAACATTTTAGCTTAACGTGATCGGAAACATTTTTTTTTTAAACAGTGATCAATAATGAGCACAATTTAATATTTTTCATATACAGTGCATTAGATAAAAATAATTCTTCCAAAAATTTGTTGAGGGTGTTTGAGACAGCCAAATTGATTTACTTGTTGTTTGATTGATTGACTAATAGAATAGAGAATGTTCACTTAGCAAAAGTGAAAAGTGCAGCATTATTTGCCTAAAATCCTTAACCATGTGCAAGGGATACTAAAAGAAAAACATTAATATAAACTGGATTTTGTTTGGATGATTGTCTAAATCACAAAGGATGCATGCCATCTTTTTTTCTTTCTTTAAGAACATTCTTCTTTAAAGAGGAACTGAACTCCTAGAAGCTGTGCCCCAAAAAGGCAGGCACTAGTCCCTAGCATTTCCTGTGGCCTTCCTGTACCTCATCTTTCCCAATTACACTTACTATGCCTTGTGCTGGCCTGTGTCTCTGTGTTGGCAGCAATCATGGGAGAGGCAGGGCTTTACTCCCTCATATCAGAGCCTCCAGCAAAGAGAACCATGAGCAGCACAATACTGACATCACCCAATCTCGCTCTAAATCTCATGGGACTAGCAATAAGACGCAGCAAAGTCTTAGATCTCACACCACAATTATACAGCTATGAGGCTGTAGGCATAGGAGTGTCTTTTATTTGTTTAGTCATTGGTAGATAGACAGCAACATAGATTATGGGTATCCCGACATCTTCATTCATGATTCCTGAAAAATTAGCTGCTAACTAACAGGAACCTTTTTTGTTGTTTCTGTTGTTTATTTTAAGGTTAAGGGGAGGATTGGGTTGAGAATTACTGTTATGTCATGTATTAAAAGTGAATGTATAATTAAACTCTTTGTTTTGCATATATCTACTGTTAGTTTTGCATATATCTACTGTTGCATATATCTACTGCATATATCTACTGTTTGCTAACAGTAGATATATGCAAAAACATTTTTAAAAAATTAAAAACTTGCCAAAAAGGGTTTTACTTACCTCTGTTTCCACCGCTCACTCCTGTCTGAAGATTCTAGAGGGGCTGAGCAGCATGATAGGGCTGGCATCAGAGACCGGCACCAGCGCTGGAGGGACTCCTGAAAACTACTGGAAAGAAGCAGCTGATCATAAGAGGCATCATTTCATCAGTCCTTAAAGCAGCATGGGGGCGGAGAATGTGAGGGTTACATTGTAGAGTTAAGTCAGGGGTTAAGTTAAATTGGGAGGGAGTTAAAGGTTTAGGTTAAGTGTGGTGCTGGTCATTGTTGGGTTTTTAGGGTCATGTTAAGGGTTAGGGGTCACACTGGGTGCATAGCTACAAACATTTTTACCTTGACTTTTAAAGGAGAACTTTGAGGTGAGTGCTTTTCACTCACCTCATAGTTCTAGCCGACCTGTGACAATGAGACTGTCACAGGTCGGCTCAGTAGATCAGGAGGTGAGCGAACACATACCGGGTTCGCTCGCCTCTCGATCCTGTCACGGCTCTCTGCCGTGACAGGGGGAGGGGCTGCTGGCTCTGCCTGTAGATAGGCAGAGCCAGCTGTCACTCACGCAGCTGGGCGGATTCAAACTTTGTCCAGTTCTGACAAACTAGCGTACATTCAAAGAAACAATTGCACAAAATATATCTGGAAAAAGTTGGTAAGAACATCTTAACCTAGCTATGACTGATTTCCACCTCATCTAGCAAAGTCAATTGGGTCATGCCATTACTGAGCTTCCAAGTAAATTACATTTGCAGTAAAAATATTTTGACAGCATTCTTTTGTCAGTCCGAATTGCATATTTATTTTTTTCCTAAATTGGCACAAGGAAAGAAAATACATTAAGCCTTCTTTTACTGCTCATAAAATCTGCAAGAGAGGGGAAAAATAGTGTACACAATTTATTTTTTGAGAAACGCCATACTCTTCGACGGCTCAGTGTTCTGAAACTTCACGCCTGGCTTCCTTCATTTAAATAGAGGGAAAGGTTACGTATCGAACACGACTATCTGGACCCGCTAGAATGACTGCGGCTATAGTCTGTCAAGTCAAATTATATGCAAAATCTTTGTCTTGGCTGCTTATCCTACAAAAATAAACTTAATTTCTAGAGGAGATGCTGTCACTACTTTGCTGTATATGGTATAGCAGAACGTTTGACATAATAAATACACAATGGAAAGATTTTCAGTGTTCTTTTGCCCTTACATTGCAACTTATAGGGACATTATTTAAAACCTAAAAAAAAAAAGATTCCACTGCTGACTTATTTTTAAAGGTGCAGGTTTCAGAATCATCATCCTAGTCCTGATTTCACTACCTTGTAAACGAATGCCCAGTAATTATGGTATTTGAAATTAGGTGAAATTTGAAATACTTTTCTGTTCTGAATGCTTGTTTGGGGTCATTTACTCACTAGGTAGTAAAGCCAAGTCATCAAAGAGAACTCCCAAATTTTATTACAAGGGTTTCATTTTTGTACTTCACTGAGAATTTTGTACTTTACTGAGAATGCTTTGTTTTTTTTTCCCCTGTCTTTTTGTCATGTCGTCATAATATATATATATTTTTTTTTAAGGTAGTGAGAGACCTTTTCTTTTTTTGAAGTTAGTAAAGTTTTTATGTATTGCCACCTTTTATCTGCCCATGATCAAGTTAAACTAAACATGATCACTTGCTATCAGCCTCCTCTGTCTCCCCTCCATATA